CTTTTCCCTTAATAAGCGCAATTGACATTTCAAGCGATGGCAGAAGGGAAAAGCCGGGAAAGTGGGTGAAATGTGCAGGCGGCGGGTGGTACAATTTGGCCAAACAAAGTTGCCAATCGAATCCTGTGCCGAAAGGGCGGAGGATGTTCCTGTGCAAAGGATAGGGTTAAAGGGGAACAAGGACCTCCTGGTCGAGGGGCAGCGAGGCATAAACTTGGACAGCGCGTGGGGGCAACTCCGTGCCTCCGGTTCTCCGGTTCTCCGGGAACATTCAATGGAGCATTAAACTGTCCAAATTCAAACGAAACAAGAGCCAGCGACTGAACACAGAAAAAAAATCAATAAGCTCGGGATTTTTCAACTTTAAACAGGATACGAAAACCGCTGGACCAGATTCTCCAGCTCTTTTTATTTTTTTTTTACCTTTTATCGCTTTGGGGGCGTGGCCACAACCTGCCCTGCATCAACATTAAATTTTCATTGGGTGTTTACGACTTTAAAACTGTTGTAAAATTTCGTTTTAATACTCCACCCGCCCGATTTCCCTGCGGTCGAAATAGGAGCTCAACTTTAACCGAACGCTTGAGGAATTCCAGCTAAGTATCTATTGAAGCACATTAGACACGGCACATTGTGCCTACTAATGAGCTCGTTTATGGCAGACATCCGCATCCGCATCCGCATCCGTATCCGCATCCGTTTCCGAGCGTTGTAAAAAAAAAGAGAAGAAGACAAGAGAACATAAAAAACAACCGCAGGAGTGTGGGGATAAAAAACAAATGTCAGTCTCTGGTTTTGGTCCAAAAGGCCGCTCTTCTCACACACCTGAGCCGCAAGTCTCTGGGCCAAAAGCCCGTTTTATTTGCTCTTCCCTTCGTTTTTATGGCCCACTGCCAGGATATTATGGGTTTGGTCGTGCAGCTTAGTCCGGACTTCGTCTGGTCACATAATCTCGCCGGGTTTTAAAGCCTCAACTTTGTTGTCCAACAAGGAGTCGTGCTGAGTGACGTAATCTGGAGTATTACTTCCTTATGGTCGGGTGTAAACTAATAAAACGGAGCGGATATATAAAAGCTATATAGTTGGAAGTTATTACAATTGGAAATTAGGTCACGACTCGCCTGATTTGTGCAGATTGCCGAGGTTATGGCAGCACTTAGTCCTAAGAATGTATTTTAGGAAGAGCTTATTATAAAGTGGTTCTATCACTAGAAATTTGCCAGCTAATGTTCATGTTAACTTAAATAAATATTGCAAATTAATAATGTTCTGTAATTTTTATAAATTCTTTACATTTATGTTGCTTATTAAAAAACTTGGTTTTTAAAAGTCTTTAAAGTAATAACATTTTTCAAAGGCTTACATTAAATGTTTATATTTTTTGTTTAAATTAATAACTCAACTTATTTGGTTACGAGGGGCTTACAATTCTTAACTTTGGACTTCAAAGCTTAGGTTGTTAAAAAAATATTTTTTGTAGAGCATTTAAAAGTCTTGATATCCCTTAAAATATATTAACATCTTCCATTAGGTTCCCTTTTGAGTGTGCGTTTTTCGGTTTGGAATGTCGGTTAGATTTCCGCTAGAAATGTGCGCTTAGCCGCACACGTCAGTGCGCATATGTTTCGTTATTCCTACCATTTTATTACTCCTTTTTTTTCCTCTGCTCAAGAGGGTTTCCTACGTTATCGTACCTTGGCATTTGCCAGCCGCCATTAACATGAAAATTATGTGTAATCGCCGGGATGCGAAAAGGGTTTGTGGCCCACTAAAGTGAGCAAATTTGGCTCGCCGGCAATCTCAATTCAGATAAGAATCCCGGCATCGCTTAAAGTTCTGATGGAGATATTAAGCCGAAGTTTAGACCACTGCTTATTAGTTCGATTTCTGTTTTTTTTGCGGCGTGCTTTCGCTGTAGGCCAAGTTTCTGTGACATCTTGGGTTGATGTTACAAAACTTTGCAATTAAATGCGCCTTAAGAGTTTTCGGACATGTCATGTCAAGACCGAAATCCATTAAAAATTGTCTTAGGTATTTTCGCCGGCCGGCCCTTGCGACTATGCCCCAAACATAGTTCAAGATTTCACATTAAGATAATTCCAAGGAAATACCAAAAGCCGCCTCGTCCGGCGCCGAAGACATCAATTGACAGTTTCGTTTCGTGTTGGCCAATAAAAAAAACAACAAGCAAAAGATATACAACAGATACAACATTAATTTGCTTGGGGATTTTATTTACGTTAGGCCGCACTGAAGGTCTGCAAAGCAAAGAAAAAGATATACAAATATAAATAAATATTTTTCGGCCAGGTAGAAATTGTCAGCGTGACCAATATCCAAACTGGATGACCATTCTTCGGGGAAGCAGCCACTCCCTAAAAAAAGCAGCTTGGTCGAAGTAGTAAATATGAATTTCACAAAAAGTATATACAATTATAAGAAACATCGAAGTTAACCTAAAATTTATCCTAAGGAAAAAACTATTTTTCTTGTAAACTCGCTAAAGATATTCGGAATGTTATGCAATTTTAACTATAGAATATTTTAATCATTTTCCAGACGCAAATGAATATAACATAAAGGTTTTTACTTTACTGGTTATTTTAAATTAAATCTAACAAGACTAAAGGCAAAAAGCACAATATTTCAAAAGATTTTGCATTTGTTTTTCATATTTTCATGCTCATTACAATCTTAATGTTTCTTTAAAGAAACTGTTGGCTTGGAAAACACTTCCTCCAACCGGATAATAATTTTTGGGCTTTCGATCACGTCTTGTTTGCCGTACGAGAAGTGAAAATCCAGCCCGTCAATGTTTAAGATCTCATTAACTAAATGCAGCGGACAACATTATAAGGCCTCCCTGCCATATCGCCCATAAAAGTTCAACTGCAGAGAAAAAATCTTTAGCTGCAAAACGTTTTTGAGGTCACTAATTGTTTTTGTACACTTGGGACGCGTCTCCATTTTTATGGATATCTTGGGTGCGCCGCAATATGAATTGTATGAAATGTATGAGATTCTCGTTGTCGAATCGTTTTACCGTAAGCCACTTTTACTTTTTGGCTTTTGGTTTTCGGTTTAAATATATTTATCGTGGCTGGTTGTATATTTTTTTTTGTTTTCAATTTTTTTTGGGTTTTGTGGGTCTTGGCTTTGCTTTACCGCTAACTGCAGACGTTTTTATAGGCTTAAAGTGGAGGCTGATTGCAGGCTGATTGACAGCTGCTTCGGCTACTTGAAGCTCAGTCGGTAAATCACTTGCCCGAAATCCCCCTGGCCAGTGTGTGCCACATCCACACCCCGATTCGGTCGTCCTCCTTCTGTTTTGCGGCTCATAAATATTTGGAGAACGCGTGCTGGCCTCCGGCTGTTGGCCAGTTTTGTTGATGCTGAAACTAAGGCTGCTCTCTGATGTCTGCGATAAACAGGCCCAATGTATTCCCTCGCTTTTTGATGTCAGTCAGTCAACCAGTCAGTCAGTCAGTCATTTGGATAGTCAGTCAATGGAAGCCTGGCCTGGAAAGCAAAATATTGTTACTGCCGCAATATGTTTTGTCAGATATTCATCTTTGGGCCAGGCCAGAATGTGCTGCGATTTTGCCACCGCTTTTCGGGTTTCTTCGTGTATTTGCTTACAAAATCGATAATAATATGAAATATTGACAGCCGAAAGTTGACTGGACCTGTCTCAAATTGCTCTATAATTTGATTGCCTTTAGATATGTTTGTAGGTATGTAGATTTTCCAGGGAATGTTATGACGCACAAGCTAGCGATTGCTGGGCAAGGGATCTCTGGGATTTAATTCAATTTAAAAGTGAATAATTGAAAGTAACCCGAGCGGGTATGCTGATAACCCTTTTGGAAACATTTTTTTTAGAGCATATTACTTTTATAGCTATCAGTAAGCAAAAGGATTAAGCCAATTGAAATTGTTCCCTTCTATTTAAAATTTAACTTTTTACAAAAGCTTAGAAATGTTATTGAGTTTTATCGATTTTTGAAAAATGTATTGGTAAATTTTACCATTGGGCTTCACTTTTGGCTACTTTTGGGCTTCAATAAAAACATTTATTATTAAAAGAAAGATAGCCTTGCAGTCACCACAAATGTCGAGCAAAATGCATAAAGGCTAAACAACCTCGATGTACTGACGATTTTTCTGCTTATTTTTCCATTTTCTACGATTGTTCCTATAATAGATGTATGATATAGACGTCCGGTTTTCAAGAAATTTATTTATTATTTTGTAAGCTATGCCAATACACTTATGAATATCAATTTCACTGTTGGTTTAGCTTGCGTATGGAATAATGTCAAGATTTTAAACAAGTTGATTGTCGCACAAAGCAAATATTCTATAATACCCTATGAAAGGGTATACAAACTTATTATATTCAGAGAGCATTTATGTAACAACGTTTTTAATCTTCCACCTCCATTGCTTGACAGCTTGACTAACAGTTGGGGATACAACGCCCCAAAAGGATTGCCGAATGCCCTTTTATATTCTTGGATGGTTAAATTATAATGTAACTTTGTGCTTGTCATCCAATTGATTAAAATGACCAATTACCAATTTATTTGTTTTATGGTAAGAAAAATAATAATTTAATTTTAAAATAAATAATAATATTTAAATAATATTCCGCCTTGGGTTTCGCTTACATAGTATCCAATAGTGTTCAAAAGTGGTTATTGAAATTTTGTATTATTTAATCCTCAATACAACTCAAATAAAGGGTTTACTTTTTGTATGACTCTTTTGGCTGTGTAGTACAACAATTTGGTTCTGCTTATTAATGCGCAGCGAAAACTATAAAAGCTATAATACTTAATAAATCATTCGAATTCAATCCATAATTGAGTGGCGACCGAAGTCTTAAAATAGTTCATAGGTAATGATTTTTGAAAGTCAAAGCACATCGACTATAGTTAGTGAAAAGGCTTCCTTATCAGATGCCACTGCCTCTCTCTGATAATAACACATTCCGAGCCTAGTTCAGTCCTGAGTTGATAGTGAAACACTTCGCAAGTGCTGTATAATGAAGTCGCGTTCTTTAGTTTTTTTTTTTGCATTTTTCTTCTATTGTTTATCAGCGTATGCAAACGATAAAATCATTACACTGACCATTGATAATCAGAATTCGCCGAACAAGTTATCAGATGCCGAGTGTAATGTCAAGTGCAGTGCTTTAAAATCATACCAAGATGAGCAAATTAAGGAAATGAATAAACAACTAAAGGAGAAGGATGATCAACTCAAAAACCAATCTGAACAGCTCAAGAATAAAAGGGAACTAGAAACAACGTTGACAGAAACTGTTAAGAGTCTGCAGAGCCAATTAATAATTGCTGAACAAATATCCAAAAATAATGCCGAATCGGTAAAAGAAATTTTATTAAAGGATAAACAAATTCTTGAATTGCAAATGCAAATTAAAGTGATTACTGATCAAACCAATAGCAAAACGTATGATATCCAGAAACAAACTAATCAGATCAATGAGAAAACTGTTCAGATGAAGGACATATTAAATGCTTTGGCAGTTTCCGTTCCCCCAACACGGTGGATTACAATTCAGCGGCGTTGGGATGGCTCCGTTAGATTTGACCGCAGCTGGGAGAAATATAAGAACGGATTTGGAAACGCTCAAGGAGAGTTCTTTATTGGGCTCGAAAAATTGCATATCATGACCTCTGCGCAACCTCACGAGCTTCGCATAAAAGTTGGCAAGGTTGATAGATCCATAGGTTACGCTGATTACGATGATTTCCAAATTGGTGGGGAGGATGAGTCATATAAGCTTAAAACTTTGGGAAAGTATTCTGGAACAGCAGGAGACTCGTTGACTTATCATAAGGGAATGAAATTCACCACATTTGACCGAGACAATGATAAAGCGGATGGTAATTGCGCAAGCTTAGAAAATGGAGGCTGGTGGTTCAATAAATGTGCTGTCAGGTAGTCATGCTCAAATGAAACTTTTTCGTTATAATTTAATTATTTTAAATTACAGTTCGCTTAATGGAAAATACTACAGCGATGGTCGTTGCAGCATAAATTTAGAGAATGGCATTTTCTGGGGTTCATTCCATAATTATGCCTATAACATCTCGTTAACCTACGCTGAAATGATGATAAGACCTAAAATCATATAATTTTACCAAAAACAAGATATAAGCTAACTTCAGAAGAATGAGGCTTATATACCCTTGAAGTTATAACTGAATTCTATGTAAACAAGATTATTGTCTAATTGTTCAATAAATAATAAATGCATAAAGTCATGCTTTCCAAGTTCATTAACTTTAGTATATAACTTGAATTTTATTTGAATATATTTAAGTCGTAAAGATGTTGATAACAAGATACGGCGATAGGACGCATGCTTCATCTACAAGCCGAAATATTCTGTGCCATCGGATGTTTTTGGATTGAAACAGAATATCGTGATCTTAGTGACATATAAGAAGCGAAAACTGGTAATCCCAAATTTTTGAGTCATCCAAGGTTTTAATAACAAAGCGATTTTAGTTGAGCATTTAGATAGTAATAATCAATGATCGCATTCAATATATGCCAATACACTGTGTCCTAAAAAGATTATGGTTAATTTTCAGCAAAACCCTTAATTTTTTTAAATTACGAGATCTGATTAAAATCTGATTAAATTAAGAAAAGTCTTGGTTTAATGTTTAATGATGATAATCAAAAAACAATAATTTACCTTCAAAATAAAGCTTTAATTTTTCGCAAGAAAGTACTTCTTTGCAAATATTTCTTTTAAGCGCTTTTTCCGAAAAATAAGGAGCCTTTTCCGAAAAATAAGGAATTCCTTTCTCCACCGAAGCTAATAGACGTATTTCGATGAATATATAGTATTATGCCTGGCAACGGTGGGAGAAGCCTCCTCCACAAAGTATCTTCCATAAAGTATCGCTGACAACTTTTCAGGCTTGTTCGTTAGTTCCTCCACAGCGCCACTCCACTCCACTTTCGGCCATAAATTTAAAAGCGAATCTGGCAAATAAACACAAATTCACACACAAACTGGGCTCGCATGTGTGTGTTCCGCAGAATGAAACTGGCAACATATCGTGGCACAAACATCGCGCCCCAATGCGACGCGATCCAAGTGTCCAGATATGTCAACAATGTCGCTGTTAAGCGCCAGAATCCGATGGCATGGGGCTGCCCCATGCCGCCACTTCTGTCACCGAATGACACCGGCTTCCGCCCCACGGAAAGGGAAATGTTCTCCCCATGCGTCACATTAAATACACAATACACAATAAATATACGCAAACCCCTACACATTTGAAAGCGAATTCGAACAAACAGAAAGGCGGCCGAAGCTGCACGCTTGATTGGCCAACTATTTTTCAAAAGGTTCGAACAGAATCGCCAAATTGAATCAGCAGTGTTTAAAAGATTCAGCAGAAAAGCCGATTGCACAACATGCTCATGGTGTAAAATATTTAGAGTTGGCCATCCAACTAAAAAAGTGAATAGATTGAAGCCAACAAAATAAATAGTGAAATGATCCGGATTTTAAATGCAACAGAAGTCAAAACAGGCTTAAGTTCCAAATGATTAGCTTTCATAAGGTTTTGTGGTTACACAAACAATCAAAATATTCTAAAATATAAAAAAAACAAGAAGGCAAAGGATTTTGTTCTAACATATTTTAAAAGCTGTGAATTTGTAGCTTTAACTTTGTTAAGGTAAATACGACACTTCTTGAAAATGCTGAGCTGTAAATCAAATAACTTGATGGAGCATTTTATTTTATTTTGTGTGTCAACTTGTGTCAAAATGTATTTCTTTACCTTAGAGGAATTATAATAATAACTCAAGTGTGAGCTGTTTTGGCAGACAATTGGAAGTCTCTCAAAACGAACTGACTCATCCAAAGTAAAGTGTCTACATTGTCGAGATATTATTTTTTTGCTGGTGTTCGTATTGTGGCATGCAAATTTTGATTCATATTTTTGCAACTTTATTTTAGTTTTAATTGCGCGCACGCAATAATTTTCCTTGATGGCGCATCAACGTCAAGGCGAATCGCTCGCCAACGCTCCATCCATCATAAAGTGAATTCGAGGCTTCGAGGCTTTGGGGCTCTGGGGCATCGAGGTTCGAGATTCGGGAGGAGCAGACCTTTGATTATGAGCGCGTGCGCACAATCAGAAGGCAGACGACAGACGGCAGACGGATGACAGCAAATTCACAGAGGGACTGGGCAAAGTCAGAAAAGTCACCCAGTTGGGACCGGGTTGAACAAAAAAAAATTGTCATTCAGGGGACGCATCGGCCATAAAAACGATTCTGCGATTCCCTCTGTGTGAGTTGGCCAAATGGCGTCTTGCGCCTTGTTTTGCATGCTGCGCTCGTTAAGAACGCCACCGAGAACAATGCAGCACCCCCAGCAGTGGGAGCAGTACACTTAAAACATAATTTTTATATTCATAACTCACTTTGAAGATTGAAAATATATTTCCCAGTTAGTCCCTATTTTAAAGATTTTGGAATAGAATCAATAATGGTTCTGCAATTTGATTTGATTTGATCAGTCACAGCTTCTTTAAACTATGATTAGTATATGATATAAGATTATTTTACACATACTTTCATAATAAATGATTATGATATTTTTTGACGTAATTTTTAATATTTATTTTTTCGAGCAATAGCAATAAAGAGCTTGGGTAATTTATTTTATTTTAGTTATATTATTTTATTTTATTTTAGTTATAATAATCTTTGCAAAGAAATAAATTAAACAGAACAAATATTTTATAAAATAAAGGAAACGAGTGAAGAAATAAATTGATTACCAATTTCAGCTTTGCCTATCCCTATTAAATCTTTATTTTATAGTTTTTAGAGTGTAAAAGCAGCAGCATCGACAGCAGTTAGCCAAGTGGTGTGTCCAGTAATGGGCTTAGCACAAGGAAACCCCCCTCACGGACCGAAAACGCTGCGGTTTATAATGACGTCTCGGGCAAAATAAGAATTGAGTCAAAGCCGCGACCTGCATATTGATTCGCCATGGATTAACAAACCCGACTCGACTCTCCTTCTCCACGGGCCAAGCCATAAAGCCAAGAATGCGCGAGACGTTTGCCTACTCATGACAATGCAATCCATTCTTATATAAATATTCATTTTTAGCCATAGATCTGCGGGCCACAGGTGCCTGCTTATAAGCCAAGACCAGTAGTCTCAGAGATTAAATCGATTTGTTGTGGACCTTGATGGTCAAAAGACTTAATCTCTAATGGATTCAAGAACAACAAGAAGAAAAGCAAGCCCAACTCGATCTACTAGAATTTATGGATAATGAGAAACAAAGCGATGTAAATAAATTGTTTTTAATTAGCCATTCCGGTTTTTGTAGATTTTCTCATTGTTTAGTTAAATTAAAATACAAGAAAGTTTTTTAAGATTCTATAAAGCAGTTGCTTTTTTAAATAGTTAAATATTAATTAGCTCGTTAATCTTAACTGCTGTTAAACAAAGAAGCAATGACCATTTCAAGGCTAAAATAAATGATTAAACAAGATTTGTTCTTCTCTTATTAAGAAACAATTAAAATGTTTGAACAATTTGTCCATTTGTGACATAAAATTGTCTGAAACGAATATTTAATATAGCTTGCCAATTCGTAGTTAAATATTTTAACATCTGTTTCTAGTGCAGATTAAAGCAAACCCATTTCTTTATAACGCTTGGCCAAAATCCATGCCAATTCTCTTTTGAGTGCTTACAAATCTCTTTGTCCGCTCTTTTGACCAAAGCTCTTAGACCAAAGCCGTAAGCCAATAAAAAAATAAGAAAATCAGGCAAAAAGCAGAAACCAATTTAATTTGTTTGTTTTACTAATCAGCGGCACGTACTCGCACGTTTTTTGCGTCAAAGTCTTTAGTGCGGTCTTTAGCTGAATTCTGTTCGCCGTCGTTGGCGATATCGGTGCTCTTTTTGTTGCCAATGCCGGTATTATTGGATTGAATTGGCCTGGCCAGGTCGAGTGGGGCCGAGTGTAGTGTGGTGGCTGCCGTTTGGTTAAACAGCCCACGTTTAAACATGGCTCAGAGCGTGCTAATCAAGTGGCTCCGAAAACAAAATTACGCGACCGACTGAGCAAAAGGCTAGCTTCAACTTTGTCTCGTTTCTCATACATTTTTAATGCCCTTTCGGAGAGTTTTACAATATTTCTAAGTTGTTTGTAACATTAAAATAATTATACTAAAATAATATATATTAGATAAAAGCATTTCACTAATATCATATACTTATTATATTATGCATTATTATACTTAACTTTTTAAATGAAATATAATTATATAATTCAAGAATCAATCCACTTTTTTGCATTGATGAGCTTAAATAACAAAATTTAAGACTATACAAAAAATCTGCAAAAACAATATAGATAAATAGTTTCCATTTCTCTGAATAATTCTGTTGAATAAGGCTAACAATTATTAAGATTAATTGATATTTTATTATTGTGCAATATATGCTTAAAATAAATGTTATTCAATCATATTTTCTAAAAAGCTATTTAGGAGTGTATTTAAATCTCAATCTGAAAAAGTTCAACTCCTTCTTCGAATTTTTTTGATTGACTTTGCTTTTTATGTTATTTGGTCGCGTTGCGTTGAAGTTGCTTTTGGCTTTGGATTTGTTTTTGGTTTTGGCTTTGGTCGCCGGCGGAGCTTGGGGTTTTGGGTTTTGGGCTTGAGTTTGGGCTTGGGATTTGGGGCTAGGGCTGGGTACGCTTTGATGGCTTCTAGGTGAAGGTCATTGTGTGACTGAAATGTTAACTTGACTGGCTGTCATACTTGTACGTCGGAGTGTTTGGGCCATTTCGGTTGTGTTTTTTATGACACTTGCTTGGGTTCTACACACTTAGAAGCGCGCACGCAAGGCGGTAATTATGTGGGCTCAAAAACCGCTGGCCAACACTCAATTGAGTTTGATCTCCGGAATGCAGAGACTTTTAAACGACTGACGCAGTTTAACAAAAACTATGTTTTTCAATTAGATGTCATTAAGGAACGCGGCTTAATCATTATGTCACAAATCAGCAAAAAATTATATAAAGTTAACATGCGAAATGAACAAATGTATTCTCGGAATGAAGGAGTGTTGGAATGCAGCATAAGCTAATAAAAAAATATAGAAAATGTACTTTGAGGAAGTGTCAAATTAACGTTTAATAATAATTAAGAAAAAAATCAACAAAGTGGAAAGTGCAGGAACTTTTGGAAAATCTCTGAAAACGATCTGTGTAAAAGTTAATGTTGATTTTAATGTCGCTGTCTCAGGTTCCAATGATGATGATGCAAATGTGCGACATATTTGCAGACGAGTCAGCTTCCAATTCAGGGTTGGGTGGGTGCTTCCCCGAGGATAATGAGCTGCAGCCCCCACGAATCGAGTCTGGTGGCCCATCTAATGGTTCTGTTCGCATGGCGGTTAGGATGTTGCCTGCTGCAACTTCAGCAGCGATTCAGCACCGTTTTGCTGATGCGGCACACTCCAGAGCCATAAAAGGGCATTAGCCTCGTGAGTAGATTGCATGTTTTTACCAGGGCTTTTTGGCTGAATGTACGCTGGATTCGGAGTGCTGTGGGTGGAGTGGAGTGGAGTACAGTGGAGAGTGGGATTCGAAGGACAAAGTAGCTGTGCGCGCGCTTTGCAAAATTGAATAAAGTGCAGGAGGAGCCGAGGAGGCAACGAAGCGGAGTAAAGGGCCCAATGTTTGTAGCCAAGTCGTTTAAGGGTTGCCGCCAGCATCCAACAACTCACTGTGTTTTTTTTATGGCCTGCCTATGGAAGAGTTGCATATACAGTTGCTCTGCAAAGTCTGCAATAAAAATATTATGTTTATAGGCATTGAATATTTTCTCATTAATATAAAATCATTTTTCAACATTTCCATATTGATTTAAAATTCAAAAATTACAAAAGGTTTTAAAATCTGATTTTAAACTAAATAAATTTCTTGGTTTTATAACGTATTATTTCTTTAAAAATTTTCTTAAATATTTTTTAATTATGTATTGAGATTTGCCATCAACACAGAGTTTTTGTTTAATTTAAATAGTTATATTTATTATAAAATTATGTAAAAATTTCTTCTCTTTCGGCTTTTAGTTTTTTAAACTTCAATCTATTTTACATTTTCATAAGCGGATAACAGAACTTAAAATTTTTATTTATAAACTGAATACACAAGATAAGTCAATACGAATTGATATTTGCTGCTTTTATCTTAATCGTTATGAGAAAAATTCTTTTTGAATTTCAATCTTAGAAATGGCATTACCATTACCTTTTAAAAAAACCCATACCTACTTAACACATCTGATCGATAATGCCAAGACCGACAATCAACTATCCGATGTAGTAATTATTAATAGTTAATAGCAGACTTATTTGCATGACTGTTGAACCGTGACAACGCGTCGTATGAGCTATGCATGTTTTCGCCTGGCAATGACTCAGATTCTGTTTGAAATTGTGCACCGCCCAACGCATAAATATGAATGAGGAAATCCAAGCAAGTTGTAACTTGGGCTTAACCCAGACTGGATTTCCCAGATCGATTCGATCCGTATAAAAACGAAAGAAATTACAACTAGAAATGCAGTTGCCCGCCGATTATTGAACAGCATGAAGAGCCACATTTTTCCACTTCTGTTCCTTTTTGGAATCATTTCTGCAGTGCTAATTGCTGGCCATTCACACGATTTTATTGGATTGCCGGACGAGTCAAGCTATGATTTACTGGAGGAATCTGGCAGTGGATACAACAGTGCCGAGGAGTTCATGAATGCGATGGACGATCTGGTGAGACGTTGGCAGGAGTACGATGCAGCCGACGAAAACTCCACCGACTATCCAAGAGTCATACACGATGAGACAACACAGGATTCAATCGATATTGTTACCAAGCCAGCTAGTTGATTATAAATAGTTAATGTTAAGTATTAATTCATTCACGGCAGGTAATAACAAGATGTCTTTTCCTATTGTAATTTATTAGGGAAACATTTAAACAGTATCATAACCTTTAGGAGAACAAATTTAGAATAAATTATACTTTAAAAAACTTCTGCGCATTGTACAAACTTAAATTACAAAAAAAAAAAAAAAACTAAAAACCAGAAAGAAGGCTTTAAATAAACAAAATAATGGATAAATTAAAGTTTGTTATTTTAATTAAATAAATAGTAACTTTAAGATGTTGTTTAAAATGTTACATTTCTTTAAGTAACTTCTTAAATTGCGTATAAAATCTCAAATCTTTAATACACTTGCAATTTTTATAATTTTATACACTTTAAAATTGAATTTTTTGTTTATGTTTTATTAGAATAAAATTGCAAGTCAGTTTATTCCAGAGTCTATCACAACTCACAACCAGAATCGCGGTTAAGATGCCAATTAAACTTGTGGCAAACAAGCACCGAGTGATGTATTTCAAAGCTGGAATTTCCCAGACTCACCTCAATCAGTACTCATAACCTGTGTATATAAAGTACCAATCATATAGACCTGCTGATAACCCGGGGCAAGGCTATAAAAGCTAAGCTCGTCGGCCGACTGACATTCAGTCAACTGCAGCCAGTTCTAATTGAAGGAAAATGCAAGCCACACTCCGCATTTTGCTGCTGTGCGGATTAATCTATTCCGCGATCGCTGCATCCGGATTTCAGAGCATTAACTTTGGAGGCGGAGGAGGTGCACCTCCGGAATGGAGCGATAGTGCCCACAATTCCGATGTCGACAACTTGCTAAGGCGATTGGAAAAGTTCGATAACGATGGCAATGATCGAAACAATTGGGGAAACAACTTTGCTAGATCTTCTGGATTGGATACTGATAGATCGAAGGAATCGAGAGAGGACGCCTTTGGAATGCAATTCATTAATTTAGGTTAAGCTGAATTTTAATTTTATTGATTTTTAAAGTTCAAAATAGATTTGTTGACTAAATTCTAAATCTTGAAAAGTATTTAATAAACATAAATCACATTTTAAAATAAATATTCAAAACGTAATGCCAAAACAAGTGCATTTAAACGTTTTTCACTGGTTAAAGAACTAAGAGCCAGTTCTTATGGCTTACTCAAGGTATATAAAAATGTGGCTTAAAAGGTAGTATAATTGTTCATTTAGATATAAAAGAGAAAATAAAGTAATCTGTCAAAAAATACTTAAATCGTCTAATCAAAAACCTTGACCCATTTCACTTTCAGTTAAACTTATGTCATCGCTTAGAAAATACTACTTTTACTTTCCATTAAACAAAGCTCTAAACTCTAAATGTCGTTAATCGAGCAGCTTATGCAAATTAGATGAATAATAAACAGCAAAAAACGAAAACAGTTTTTAGCTTAGAATACTTTGACGATGAATACGTGAATTAGCATATTTATGCGATTTTATATGACCAGCGCAGGGTTCTATGTTGATTGCCGAGGTTCAGTCTTCGGCCAAAGCGTTAACCAGTTATACATAACTATAACTGGTGGAAGGTCATTGGAGGAAATTAAATCGATTTCCGCATCATCAATACGATTTGATCAGTGCTAATCAGCGAGAAAATATTACACAAGGGCTGTATCAAATAATCTACGGCAAGTTTGTATAAATAAATTTAGAGTAACACTAATTGCGTTATCTGTTAGTATAAACAAAATCAAAGAGAATGAAATTTTCATTTGTTTCTAAACGATCAATAAATCCAAATTTAATTGCCCATATTGAAGCGTAATCTCGAACTTGGCAAATCAATCAAAAACAAACATCGAACGAAACAATCAATTATTTCAATTGCAATGCAATTACTATGCAAATTCGCTTGCCACACACCAATGTGTGACTGAATACGTGTAATTAAACAATTTGACGTTTAAATTTCATTTTAAGGTACAATTTAAACGACTGCATTTGCTAATTATTTGTAAAGGGAATTCGAGGTGTAAATAATTTAAGCCACACAATTGTTCGTCTGTTTGCCACAGGACGAGCCGCAGTTTTCCGTTTTTAAATTTCAATTAAATTTAAATGCCTTCCCCTTTCGCCGCCGAGTTTGTGTGTAAGTGTGAGAGCTTTTTGCCGGCACTTTAAGCGCATACTCGTATAATCATGATTTTAATTGAGGATTAAATCCCTAGGAGAAAGTAAACAGACTAACATCCGAAAGGGAAAACATTTCCAAAGGGGAAAAAACATTCAGTTGAATGGAATGTGTTAATAAAAGCTTTAAACTCAGAGGATGATGGAGGATGAAAGTGCGGAGAAAAGCGGGAAAAGTGCGTTAGCTGCTGGCGATGAACAATCGCTCAGTTTCCCAACACAATTGCCCTTTGAGTCGGATTTGAAACCTCGATTAAGCATACGCAACGTGGTCTCTATTTCGCACAAGAAGGGAATGGGAATCGCTCTTCGAATGAGATAAGTCAGTAGAGTCAAGAAGGTGGAGGTCATAAAAGGGCGGAATTGAAAGAAACGAGCGCTAAGCACTCGAAATATGAACTGATGACACAGACAGATCTTAAATTCACTAGAAGTTAAAGCTGCCCAGAAATCGGATTCGGCTTCCACTTCCGATTCGGCAGCATCAGCAGAGCTTTTACGCAGCCAACTGATTAAATTTATTTATTATGTCACTCTGTGTCTCTGTTTCGTTGGATGGATGATGTCCTTCCCCAATCCTCTCCCCTTCCTCCGTCGAAGGACTCACTTTATGGTCTTTCTGTCTTCTAAGTCCCATAATGGCAGAGCAATCGTTGGCTTAAGTCTCCCTTTTTGTTTCACATCCCCCTCTGCACTTTCTTATCGATGGGGGGCAAATTGAATTTGGACTGCTGCTTATCAGCCTTTTGTTTACCCGCTTATCGGGTATCCCAAATCTCTGCAAATGATATAAGATATGGCGGCTCTTGTGCCGAATATTCCGCAGATAACAAAAGTGGAGAATAAAGGAGGAGCACTCAACCAGAAACAGAAGTACAGTACGTGTCTTGGGTAAAGTGTTTTCCCGGAATAAAAATGCAACAATGAGTAAGGTTACGTGGTTAGTTTTGGTTTATTCCCTCTTTTTTTTGTTGCGGGGTGTTACCAAATTAGCGCTTGGGTTTTTTTCCTTCAAAGGTTCAGATCTTTCGAATGGCATTAACCCCATTGGCCGGGGGATTCTGCCATCGATTGCTGGCCACAATTAATTACCACATTCGAGCAAAACAAATTCTGCATTTACCTGTTTTTCCTCTTTTGCATTCGCCCAGACAATTAACAGCCGCTCTGCGTTTAACAAATGCAAAAATAATTATAATTAATGCAGAGCTTTTGGCCTTGAACTTGCATAACCTGCTGTTGCTGTTGCTGTTGCTGTTGCTGTTGCTATTGCTATCTCCCTCGCACTTCGACGTAATTACTTTGTCGCGCTCGTGGTTCTGCTTTTTGGCCAGGCCAACAAAATCGTCATCGTCATCGGCATTGTCATGAGCAGTCGTCGCCGTTTCGTGGGTGAGACCCACCAAACAAATTTCGCATTCATATTTGTTTAGCAGCGGCAACCAAAAAAAAAAAAAAAAAAAAAAAAGTTAGCTAGCTTAGCATTTAAATATTTTCAGCTTGGCTGAGCAGCGAAATGCAATTGCAAAAGGAAAAAACGAGTGAAAAATGAGGGGGCAATATATAGGAAAATTCAAATTCAAATAGTAGTCTATCTCTATCTCTATCTGTGTATTTTCATGCCCGTCAGTCTGGCCAAGTTCAAGGTAAACATTTGCCTCGAAACTTGGCGAATTTCTGTGGAAGCATCCAGCGAGCCATATACGATCTCCCGCTTATTACTCACCTTTGACAAGGCCCAAACGATCGCCGGTATTAGCCTGACTCAGAAAACGAGGCGGGGAAACGGGTAATCGGCGGATCAGTCAAGTGCAGCCAGCTCAGTTCTCATCGGAGAACGCCCACGGGAAATGGAGGAGGGGATTGGGGAGATTGGGGGTCTCGAGGGGATTGGAGGGAGTGCAGTCACTCGGTCCGCTAATTAATAACTCAGCCAAGTCAGCGAAGGCACTAAATCATACTACACATGTGTATTTAGGGGCGGAAAGATCGGGGTTTCGGGATGAAAGATCGGTAGTAAGGTGATGCAGTCAGCCGAGATCCATTACCAACCAGCAAAGACTATTTTTCTAATCCACAGTCAATAATTTCACAAGAACATTCAAATTACTGCTGCATCATTAAGGTCGAACTATGACAAGCAAAAAGGTATACCTCTATATAAAAAGGTAATGGAAGGTAATTGGGCACAATTATGCTATTGGTTCATAGTAAAAACCATAGAAAAGAAAAATGACTTAAGATTAAAATTATTTATTTTAACAATAACGGAAGTAAAACCATTTCAAAACTAAAAAATTTATGGAACTGAAATATAATATATTGAGAAATTTTAACTTTAAACATTTTAAAACGAGATCTTTAAAATGGGTGTTTCTAACAATTTTAAAGAGCAAAATGGTGCTTCAGAAAATAATGTAACTATTATTAAACCTATTTTATGAATTTTGAAGTACCACAAGTACAAATTACTTTCATAAAAGTGCTAATCAAAGGCATATCCACATATGTACAATCAACAAATTTGAAGTGCATAAATTAATATTTATTTTTGTGAGAAGACAATTTGATTACTTCAATAAAAGAGGGTTCGTTCTATTACACAATGTACTCGTACAATAAGCATTCCAAATTTATATTTTTTTGTTTAGAAAAAGAAAAACTTTAAAAATGTGTTCTGCGCCCAATTGGAAACCAATAGCGCAAATTTCTAAGTCGCAGCCATCGCACCATTTTCATTTGAAGCACCACTGACCCACTTTGCTCATGAATGCGGCGCCTTCTTCTCTCGGGGGCAAAGATTGAGAACCCCTTACCCCCCCAATTTTCACCCACAATCATCTCATATTTGCCGGCCAGTTCTTATGCAACATTTGCAGATGCATTTCGCGTTCTGTCCATTTTGCTCTCGGTTTCTCGGTTCTGTGCTCTTTGCTTGCTGCCGTTTTATTGCTAAATTAAGTAATTGGTACAAGAAAACGCCCCGCTGGCCCTCCTCTTCCAGACTTTTCAGACTTTCCAGACTGGCCTGCATTCGCTTTGGATTCTGCAATCCAAATGCTCGCCTGTTTTTTGTGTCTGCTGTGTCTGTGTGCGAGCGTCTGTGCATCCGAGTATCTGAGTATCTGTATCTATTAGACCCGTATCTGCATCCGAGCATCGCGGGCGGCACACAATGTGCTCTTCTTTGGCATTCCACTTCTGCTTTCCATTGCGAATGTGTTCTGCAGATGCAATTGGACAGTGGGGCGAAAACCAAAATAATGCAAATATACAAAAGGAAAATGCAGTCAAAGAGGCCAAAGCAAAAGCAAAGCAAAAAGCAAAATCGAGCACTCAGAATGCGAGAGTGGGTTGCGCAATCTTGCAGATACTTTTGGGCAAATGGTTTCGCCTCGGCTACTTGCATTCTAAAGATTCGTTATTATACTCGACCATTCTGAGAATTCTAAGAAAAGCGAAGCGAGTCTTTTTATGGCTTCCAAATGGCCAGACGTAAAATGGCATTACGAATTAATAAATACGAAGGAAAAAAAAAACAAATCACAAGGGAAGCGACGAGGGGGCGATTCCATAAAATGAAGCACGCAAAGCAGATGAACTGAAATTCCAAGGTCGCCGGCAAAAGAACTTTTTGTTAGCATGTTTATGAAGATTTCTGAATTTACTTTTTGCGAGCGACGGCAGCTCATTTTTCGGTTCTCCGCGGTTTGTTTAAAGAAGAATTAGTCGGTCGATCGACGGAAAGCAGCTTGGAAACTGGAATCTCGAACAATATATTTCAACTGCGAACCGAGTTCATTTTTTGGAACGAGAGAGTTGGGCAAATGAAGTCGCAGGTAATGCGACAAATAAATGGAAAGAAAGAGCACCGCCCAACAAAAAGTTTAATTTCGGTGCTAATTAAAGACGTATATGCTGTGTAGTATATATACAACCGATGCCTGTGCACATTTAGCCAACTGAATTTATGTGCACGGCTTTCTTTGAATTGCGCAGCAGCCCGAATTGGGCTTAGAATTGGGTTCGGCTCTTTGGAACCTTGACCCCAATGATATCAGAAAGCAATAAGCACCCGCTCGAGGAGCTCTATAAAAAGAAGAAAACGAGAAAAAAAGAACACGAGCGAGACATCAGTTAAGACTAATTGAGCTTGGCTAAAATTGGTCAAAATGCGCAGCAAGCGGCCAAGACAAGAGCATCAAGTCCAATTCAATCCAATCCAATCCCAACGAATCCATCAACGACAACCGACTCGCAGCGATGACTGCTGCAAAAAGCCACCTCTGGCACCCAAGTCTATAGGTATATATACATACATATATCTACCTGCCGGATGACATCACCTCCGCCGCCGAACGACAATTACTCGGAATACAAATAAAGAATTGCGACCCCAACTTGGCGCGGTCGCAGGCTATCCTCAAAAACTGCATGACAAGGCACCAAATGGCCGCAGAACCAGCTCGAAATCAGAATCGCAACTGAGGAACAAACCGACTAACAAACAAACAACCAAGCAAACGAACAAACAGCCAGACTAACAATCGTTGAATCGAATTCGTTGTCCAAGAGGCGAGGAGCTTGAGAGCCAACTCGATCGATCGATGCTGCAGGGGATCCATAAATGGCTGAGGCTAAGGCAGTGCGCCGATTACTCATACGCCATGTGGCCGGCGAGGCAAGTTTAAGCAGATGACTGCCTGCATTTCGCATCCACCACTTGGAAAAGCAACCCTCTTAATCACTTGGGGTCTCAAATGCATTGAGATCGATAGTTTTGCTATAGAAAGCCACTTAGCCTCTTGTTAAGTTTTTATATCTCTTAGTTGAAGCTTTTAAAAGTTGTTTTGTTCTAAGCTATTAAAAAAGGATCGATTTTGGTTATCAAATAGGTATGCGTTTATAATTTAATTTTATTTGCTTAAAATACATATTTGACATATTTTTATAAATATTTAAATATTTAATATTAACACTTTGATATTTAGTTCATTATATATATATTTTTAATGAAATATTGCCTTCTTAATAGTTAATTAATATGTATAGTATAATGTGTCAGTGGCTCACTAATATACATATTGTGACAATTAATAAATAAGGTTTTACATTTTGCGGTTTGACAACAAAAAGAGTTAGTGACAAATGGTGTATGGGTTTTTAGTATTTCATTCTGCTTTGACAACTCCAAAGATCGATTAATCCATCTATCACCCTTGAATAAACCCATTAAAGCGTCTGTGAATTGAGTTTTTACCACATCATTAGCTCGAGGGGACTCCGTGGTTCGTCATAGAAGCACTCTATGATTAATGACCTAACTTGTCTGCTCTACGTGCACTTAATTGGTTAATTAATTTGTGTAAATTTTTGTAAATATTAAGTTGTTTATATGACGCACTCCTCCGCCCTTCAACCCGTTTTCCCCCTCCCAAAAAAAAGCACAGAAAAAGAGAAGTTTGTGCCCCATATAGTTATGACAACCAGTAATTAGGCTTTCGCAGTTTTGTTTGCCTTTTGTTTGAGTCTTTTATTTTTTGTTTGCCGCTTGTTAACTTTGTTTTGTTTGAGATCATTTTGGGGGTCCACCCCTTGAGCCCCGTCCCCCCAACTTCCCTCCGCCCCAAATGGTGGCACTCAAGTGGCAATTAGTGTTGACATTCATTAGCTGTGATTAAAATGAGATCAGATTGTGGACGGCGATGACGAGCAGCACGTGAGAGGAGGGCTGACCGACGGACCACGCCCCCTCGAAGATAAAGATCGGTTTCGGAAAGGCGTGTGATTCACACGCTCAGTTTGGCGAGCTGAACTCCAATCCGCACAGGTTAAAGCGAATTTCGAAATTAGCTTAAAAGTAACCAACAAATTAGCTTGAGAATAAAGAATATTGTGGAGTTATTTGGCGACCGCTTAAAAATATATATATAATATAAAAAACTACTTTTCCATTGGATTGTACCATTTCTATCTAACTTTAATAAAAAGTAAATTTCTACATTAAGTTTAAAAAAATATAGAAAACTTTCTTTTTATCCATTTTATTTAATTGTAGGGGGTTCTAAAGATAACATTTATATTAAATTTGTGGAGGAATTTATTTTTGATTGGTTCCATTAAATCATCCATTATCAACCAATTTTAATCACTTTAAAATTAAGCTTTTAGTGCAAATATAATTAGTTTTGTTACGAAGTGGAGTCATCAATTAGAGTGCTTATTATTTTACTAATGACAGAAATACTGTGCAATGGATTGTTTTTAAATAGGTCCTAATTCCCTGGAACACTTTTTTCGCTGTAGAGATATTAATATATATGTATATAGATTTAGTCATAGAAGCCAATGCAGCTGCACCGATCATATCTAGCTTATGTGTCGCCACTTTTTTGGAAAATTCGTGGACTGAATTGGAATCCGCATCTGCAAATCACATTCGCAATAAAAAGTAGAAGTGGAATACCGAAGAACTATATGTAAAAGAAGAACACAGAGCACGCTTCTAAATGTGGGATGCCCAGATGCAGTTGTGAGTTTGCCAGCGGTCTAATAGATCAGATACTCAGTCACAGATATACATTTTCCTACAAATACAGAAGAACATCTCGAAGGCAGAGATAGAAAAACGGGTCTTTGGAGGCGGCTTCTTGTACCAATTACTTAATTTAGTAATAAAACTGCAGAAAGCAAAGAACAGAGAACCGAGAAACCGAGAGCAAAATGCATCTGCAAATGTTGCATAAGAACTGGACGGCAAATATGATGATATGGATGATAATGGGGAGCTCGAGGGGCAAGGGGCTATGAATCTTTGGCCCCGAGAGAAGAAGGCGCCGCATTCATGAGCAAAGTGGGTCAGTGGTTCATCGAATAGAAGAAGTACGGTGGGTAGTTCAATCTTTTAAATTCTACACAGCGCTTTCCAATTAAATGCGACTCTATAAGAATTTTTCTTTTACTGCTGTTAGTTATGTGCGAAAGTAATGAAAATGAGCAATTTTATTAGTCACGTAACTCCTCATTCTTTTCCCAAATTAGCCACTCACTTGACTGCAAAATGAATTAGCGAGCTGGCCAGCATGTGAGTGATCTCCCCTTGAACCCCGTGGGCGATCTCGGATGATCTGAGGTGGCTGCACACTCTTTTTTTTTTTGCACTCTGAGTCAGGCTAATGTTCTCGAAGAGAATTTCACGAGTCGCCAGCTTAACTCTTGTCAAAGGTGAGCATGGTTTCGGCGTGAGTAATGCGAATTCGTTTTTCAACGACCCTGAACCCAGTTAAATTGGCTTGGTTAATGCATCTCAAGTGTTTATTTGCCTTGTTATGAAACGAAAAACATGAGGGTATCCGTAAGAAATTCCCTTTTTAGGTTAGTACTTTCTCGCACTTGCAAGGATCTTCGCCCACGCGATCGCCTCCTGTTTTCAGGATCAGTTTCCTCATGGCATTTAGGGATCTCTTGATGGCCTTACTAAACTTCACAGGGCTTATTGTTGGGCAAGTTTGCCAGGCGGAGATGGAGAATATTATCTTTTTCTCCTGGGGATTGTAGCAGATGCCGTAGCCATCGGATAAAAGGGGTCCGTGCGACATGAATCCTTCGTTGGAAGTGGCCACCTGGGAGGTGAAGAGCTGAAAGGTAACGGATTTAATGAAACCCTTTGATTGGAAGAATTCCGGTAGAGGAATGCAGTTCTCCTTGGCCATTTGCTGCAGACCAAACAGATGGCGATCGATTCCCTGGCCAATTAGGGCCTCCTTGGTCAACTTTTCGTGGGCATCCACCGCACTGTGAAGAGCTGCCAATTTCACTTTATCGGAAGCGCTTTCCGATTCCATGGCCAAAATGAAGGCCTTCGATTCATTAGATGTGGATCTAATGGCTTCGGTTCTTCCCTCAGTGAAAATCCTCAAGTGAGCGGGCTCGTACTGCGCGGGTATTTTCTTGTACATGGAGTAGTACGCTAAACTAATTGCCATCTGTATGTAGCTATCTGGATTTAGACCCTGGGCCTTGATGAAACACTTTCCATGGCAATCGAAGTCGAATACGTTCAACTGCACCTGAGTTGAGATCTTGTAAATATTTCGCATTGCTTGGCACAACCACAAGTTAATGCAATCATTTATGGGCTGAAATTTCAGCAGAGTTGTGGTGATTTCCTTTTCCGAATTACCGGAGTCGCAACCATAGTTCTCCTCCGTACTAAAAATATATATTTTATTTTAAATTTAATTAGCTTTTGATTACTTACACTTTCTGGTGGACAAAGTCCATCAACATGGCCAACGGCTGACAATCGGCGGGGGAATGTTCGTAGCAAAAACCAGCCAATCCATTTGGGTTCACGATCAGCTGGATGGTTTTGTCCATCCATCGATTGGCGCTATTTTCCCGGAGTCCTCCGCCGTGGAGGAGCTGGTGTGCTTGGAGTACTCTCTCCTTGCCCTTCGCAATGGGCAGACACTGATCCAGGCAGACCACGAACAGGGATTGCTCGATGGCCTGGATGGAGTCGACATTGCCATGTGGACAACTGAGTACTCCGCGGGCCTCGGCCCAATTGCTCCTGTTGTCGTGGGTCAGCAGGCCAATGGGTTCCCCCTTCTTCTGGGGACAGTCGATGATCTCCTGCAGGGCATCTCGCAAACTGTTCACATGCAATGGACAACCTTCCGAACAGACTGGCAACTTAAAGTACTAAAAGGAATATTGGAGAGATCGTTTTTTAGTTATATTCAGAAGGAAGGTTTTTAAGCATTTTTGTAAATATATTTGTATGTATGTTCTGTGTATTATGATTCTTAATTGTTTTTTTAATTTCTATTATTATTATATTATATTATTTGCTTATTTTATAGTGTCTCATATAAAATTAAATTTGTTCCGTTTTCTTAAAAGATTAACCCTATTCATTACTTAAGTAAAATTTCAATGTTTGCATTTGGCTTAAAATTCTTAATCTAGTTTTTTTTAATATTTTCTTCGGTTAAGGAAAATATTTAAAATAGCTTTAAGACTAAAAATAAGGAGTTCTGCCTATGAAGACAATAGTTAGCAAGCTTGAGTATATGTTTTTATTTTCACTGCATTAATATTTTCGGCTAGCAAGAAAGTTTTTCGATTGCAACTATAAAAAGCTGTGGCTAACAAAATACTTGGTTAAAAACTTTTCTTTTTTATATTAAATACACACTTTATTCTTTAAAATTAAGTATTTACTTACGTTATTTTTATGTACGACCACAACATATTTAGAACCATCGTGCTGCTCTAGAGTATCGCAGAATCGTCCTGGCTTTCGAACTGTGCCAAAGATTTTACAGAATTGACTGTTGTCCAGATGGTCACTACCCATCTTGACCACTGGAATTTTGTTTTGGTCAATCAGCTGTTTAAACTCGAAAGTTGCGTAAATCGCCTTGGCAGCAAAGTTGACGTAATCGATGGGTTCCTTGAACTCTTGAATGGGAAATGAGATGCCGGGACTTGAGAAGACGGTAAGGGGAGCCTGGTAGGTCAAATATGCAGCTTGGGTCCATCGTGGCGTTAGCCAATTGCTGCTAGATTCTGCCTCTTTCTCCAGGAGCTCCTGCAGATCCTTTCCCTCGTTCTCCAGAAACTTTTTGGTTATTTCCATCTCCTCTTTGAGCTCCTCCTTTGTGAGAAGTGGCTCAATGCTGCTTACATAACTTGCGAGACTTTGTTTCAGGGGAAGAGCTGGAAACTTCTTTAATTCGGGTTCAGTTTCTGAATCGTCAACCTTTTCTGTTTCGGAACTCTCGTCACATTTGTACTTCGATTGTTTCGGTTTGTAAATGCAATCTTGTTTTATTTCGCAGCTTTTATCAGATCTCTTCACTTTTTTAGATTGAGAATTTGGTTGAGCTTTTTGGGCGGCAGCTTGCACTTCAACGGTTGGAAGATCCGCAGAGACTTTGATTTTTTTATCAGCTGAAGGATCCACAGAGACCTTTATTTTAGCAGCAGGAAGTTCTTTGGATATTTCAATTTTCTTATCAGCTGAAGGATTCACAGATACTTTAATATCTTTAGCAGCAGGAAGTTCTTTAGATATTTCAATTTTCTTATCAGGAGAAGGATCCCCAGGGACTTTTAGACACCATTTAGTAGCTGATGGATCCACAGAGACCTCGATTTCTTTACACGCAGGAAGGTCTTTAGATTTTTCAATTTTCTTATCAGCTGAAGGATCCACAGAGACTTTAATTTCTTTAGTTGGTAAGGAACCCTTAACTGCTGGGGAATCTTTATCTTTGGAGGAATCTTTAGTTGCTGGAGTAGAGTCGATAACTTTTTCAGCGGTTTTGGAAGCTTCCGAAGCTAGGGAAGTTTTCATGGAGCAACCATCCGGTTTTTTCTTAGCTAAAGCACAAGGATCTGGTTCTGATTCACAGGAATCTCCTTCAGCTTCCTTAGGCTCTGCTTTAGCTGCTTTCCTGGGTCCATCTCGGCAAGGATTTCTGCCCTGGGGAAAAGCCATCAAAAGGGGCATGGAAAACCTGGAAGTTGATATTGGTGGTGGCTTTTCTTCTGGGGATTGTGGTTCTGACTTTGGAGAGGGTTTTGGAGGAGCAGTAGCTTTAATCGGAGGATTTACTGGCTTATCCTTTGGTTGCTCTGGATTGGCAATACCTTGTTTACGTAATTTTTCCTCTGGTAGTTTTGGTTTTGTTAAAATACTTTCTGGTGGTTTTGACTTAACTTTAGGGGAATCACTTGGAACAGTAGCTACCCCTTTACACTTCGGTTTCTCGTTTTGTTTTTCAGATGGGCATTTTTCTTTTTTCTTTTCTTCCTTACATTGCTCAACAAGCGGCTCTTTTTTTTCCGGTTTTGGGCTTGAACATTTAGGTTTATCTACATCTCTTTTACCTTCCTTACAAGGACTTCCGCCATTTTTCTCTGTTGGTGGGATATTTTTTATCGGCTGTTCGACTTTTGGCTTTGCTTCAACTGTAGCAACTACAGGAGATTTTTTTGTTTCCGGCGCATTCAATTTAACATTAGCATCTGGAATATTACCTTCAATTATAGGTTTACCTTGATTTGCACATCTTCCCGTAGATTGCTTTAAATCACCAGCTGGCTTGCCTTTTTTCTTGCCATCCACGCAGGGATTTCTTCCAATGGGAAAAGCGTTCTTCTGAGGCATGGAAAATCTCTCTTCAAGAGGTGTTGATTCTGGTGATTTTTCAGGTTGTGCAGAAGCTTTTACATCATTTTTTGAGGACGGATCTTTGCTACTTGAAGGTTTTGGAGGAGTTTTTGAGAGCTTCCTCACAACGCTATCAATTTGCTTTGTATTATTTACTTTTTGCGAGGGTATTGCACTTCCCAATATCGATTCTCCAAATTGGTTACCGCCATCTCCACTGCAAGTTTTGCAATTAACAATCATTAATCCAAAAGCTGCTTGAGTTTTCACAGGTGTTTCACTACATGTTTTACAATTAAATATTATAGGAATTTGCGATTTAATTTCAAGAGGTTCTGATTGAACTTTCGGTTGTGGTGAAAAATGCTCTCTTGGAACAACTCGGGTACAATTCGGTTTTTTCTCTTTTGTCTCGCTGTTGAAACCAATCGGAATTTGATCCTTGTTTTCACTTTTAATTGGCTCCTTTGACTTGCCAACATCACCTGAACTTCCCGATTTTCCTGCAGAGTTCACTGATGCTAGAGCCCTGCAAATTATTTCCAAAGTTGGAGTTTCTGATGGCTTCTTACTTTTTGGTTCTAGACGAGTGGAAAAAATAAGTTTGCGAGCTGCCATGGATTTCTTGGCCATTTCGGAAAGCTCTTTTGGTGGAATATATGACTTGCCCTTGCTGCACCATCGCACACTGCATTTGCTCTATAAGTTATTCGATTTAAATGGAGGTTTTGCAATATTTAAGGTTGCTCGTTGGACTTACGATGTTCAGGAAGCTTTTGCCGCCCTGCAGGACCCTCATGTTTCCGTTCCAACAAGGACTGATTTTGGGATGGTACCGAAAGGGACTTTTGTGTGGGTGCCTAAATGTGGTGCTTATATCATAGTTATTTTTCAAAAATTAGACATATTTCTGAAAGTAAGATGTGGTTTTTTAGAAGTCACTTAAATATGTTTAAAAGATAAATACTTTTAGGTAACATTTATTGATGGTTTTACCTCTTTTATTTATAAGTATATATAATACTATTTTGTTATTGTTTAACCCTTAGTTTTTGTATAATTAAGTTCAATTACTAAGCAATAATAACTAAACTACACACCAATTTAAAAAACCAGACAACATGAAATATTTATAAAATTTTTTTCCTCGACAAAGTTAGTTGGCAATTTTAGCTCTTTTATTCAAATATTAAGTATGCCCAATGTGTCTTCCTTTTTTCCATTTATGACATTTGTAGTATGTATGGTTTTAATAAATATTATTGAGTAACAGAGAACCTCGTTAAAAGTTTTCCCCTTAAACTGACTTTCTGCGCACTTCCCAAAATCAATTTGGAGTTCCCCTTAAATGTTCGCCATCAGCCTCGAAATTGGAGCGCACCAAACAAGCTGCGGCGTCGCTTCATTAACCCATAGAACTTGTGGCTGTGGCATCGAGGCATCGAAGCATCGACTCCTTTCCGAGTTCCGCGAATTGGGAGCGGCGGCAGACACGGCACAGAATCGCTGGGAGAAGAGCAAGAGTGAAGGGGGAAGGGGCAGCGGGTAAATATTAACAAAATCAACACCTCGGAGGCCTCGGCTTGATTGCTTTGCCAAGTGAAGTAGCCATATTATGATTATTGCCAACTCTCCGCAAGTGACGCAAACGAAGCTGAGCCCACAGAGCGAAAAAAGTGCAATAATTGCATATTGACCTATTTTCTTAACAATGCATTGCGAAGGGCGTTCGATGGGGAAGGGGAATGGGGAGGGGAAAGGGGGAGGTGGAGAAGAGGAGGTGGGGAAGGGGAAACCCAACAACATGGGAGTGTTTGCAGGTTACGCATGCGTGAGCGTTGCCTTCATTTAATTAGGCGGCGACACCTGCGCGGAGACGAATACGAAGCTCCATTCGCAGTTGGAGCAGCAGTTTCTCAGTTGGAGCAGCAATTTTCAGTTGGAGCAGCAGTCTCAATTGCAGACGTCGCCATCAATCAGCAAATCAGCGAACGAGGCAAACAAGGCGGCAAGTGAGGCGTGAAAACGGCGAACAAAACAGCAGAAAATAAAGAAAAACCAACAAGAGGGTTTTTTTTTAAGAAATACTACGTTAATACCCTCTAATTTTACAGCAATTTTTTTATGGATTTGCCATTAAATATTAAAAACGGGCCTTGCCCTCCCCATTTTCGTAAAAAGTTTCGTTAATATTTTCCATTTGGTATATTTCCATCTTAGTCCCAATATTGTTTCCTAGTTTTTAAAGTACGTTTCAAAATTTTATAGACAAATTTTGATAAATAAAAATTATTTTTAGTAACCTTGACCTTAGGAAAAATATTTTTTATAAAGTTATATTAAAAATTGTGTCTCTAGGATTTTTTTTTGTAATTGCTAAAATTGTTTATTTTAGAGAGGATTTTAAAAAGAGAAAACATTTTTATAGTTGCACAGAAGTAAAAATCAAATTAAGCTCTTAGTTTTTGTTTTTGAAATAACTTTTCCTTTTTTAAATTTTAACAGTTGTACAACATTTTTGATGCAAAAAAAATATATATTGTATTTATATATTTTCCATTTACTTTATCGCTTAAATATTAAATGATGAGTTCTTAAAGGAGTTTGTAAATTTGTTTTAGCAAATACCGATAGTTAGGGTATCGCAACGTAGTGATGATGAAGTAAAATGAAACCGAAAACGCGGCAAAGAGTGCTGCACAAATGAAAACGAGAATGGAGCTGGAGATGGGGATGTGGATGGGGTCTTCAGAGGGAGGGAAGAGGGGGGGGGGTGAATTGGGGCCGAGGGGCGTGTTTAAGCTCATTTGACAATGAAGTGCTTTGAGCCTGACGACTGCGTTTGGGTTTGGGCGCGTTTTTATTATTTGCCTGCCCCACTTTGCGTACAGCGGCGATAATTGACGCCACGGTGGCTGCAACTGCTACGACTGCAGCACCACAGCACCACATCACCAGAGCACAAAAGCACCACTGCATCAGCACCACAGCTCGACAGCTCAACAGCACAACAGCAACAGCACCACCACTGAGCAAAAAAACAACAAATAACAAGGCTGCCTGATGGCCCACAATTTGGACTGCACTTTATTAAAGTACCCGTTGGAATGAAGCCACCCAGCGAAAATCCAGGGCCCAAAGTGCGTCGCGTGTTTGCGTGAGTGTTTTTCACTTGAGGCCATCGTCATCATCGGCATCGTCGATGCATTTTGCCTGGATTGCATTTGTCAGGTGTTATGCAATCGAGGCTGCAGCCACACGTCAATTGCCAACCGAGTGGAGCTGGGCCGACAATGATCCCAATGAAGGCGGAGTAATTTGGCAGAAGGGCCCCGATTAGGGGTTCTTTTCAAGCGGACTGACTGCGGAAAAGTGTTGTCACTCATTAAAATAATAGGTATAGAATTTAAGGTTTACCTAATATAAAGTACAAATTTAAGATTTAAAAATTTAAGAAGAAAAATAGAAACATAAAGACAAAACAAAATCACTTGTATTCATTAATGGCAGGTTTAAATTGTTCAACTTTAATTGTCTTAAAATTTTAACTGTTTCAGTGGTTTATAAAAACTTTTAAGATTTTTTCTTTTTGGAATGGTAAACTAAATAAAAAATGTAGCTATAATCGTTTTAATTTATACTGACAACTATTCTCTCAACCTTTACGCTTTATTTAGCTCTTGTTTATTAACTCTTAAAAAATTAAATTTAATATGTCTGTGATATTAAAAAAAATAATCTTATTTAAAAATTATAAAATTTATTAGGCTGTTTAAAATATTTAAAAAAATTTTATTCGGTTCTTTATTTGTTTGTTAAAAGCTAGAATTTTAAAGAGCAAATAGTCGAATGAAAAAAAATTTAACTGTGCACCAATTCTGTTTCCTAAAAGTAAGAATTTTAAAGAGCCAATTGTGTAATGAAATAGAAATTTCTCCGTTGCACAGCAATATATTTTACAAACCTAAGCCCTAAGCAAAGCAGAATACGCCGGAGAAAGAATTTCAATCTGAAAAATAAGCTATTCCCCCACCGATTCCCCCTGATCCCGCCGGCATCATTATTCAATCCAAGGCTTTGTGCGAATTCCACTCTACAATGGCAAAGGAAAACGTTGATGTTGCATGGCATTTTTGTTGGTTTATTGTTGGCTTTTCTCCGGCACTGAGTAAATGCGAATTTCCTGTGCATTGTTTTCAACTGTTGGCCAAATGATCTGCACCTCCCCCTTCCCCCCTCCCTCCTCACCCCACCTAATCGTAGTCCACCTGATGACCTCAGCAGTTCCAGAGTTGCAATTAGTAGAAAAGTAATTTTCGTTTGGTTTCTTTATTGTTGTTTTGCGGTTGCCGCTCTTGCTTGTTTTTTTTCCACCTCTTAAATCTCTGCTCAGCGATGCTGAAACAAAAAGTATTCTAACACCCTTTGTTCGCCCAGTTAGTTGAAAAAAAAACCATATATACAGAGGTAAATATATAGGTGTGTGTAACTGAGATGCATGATTAATGTCCGCATTGAGTCATGTCCGAAGAGCGTGGAACCATTCCAAAAGCCGAAGCCAATTGAACTTGGACTGTGCTGTAAACCGAAAATGAAAAGGCGACGGAGCTGCGCTCAGGTTTTGGTTGATAACGCAAATGGTGGCACGTGTAAACATGAGACGTGGACTAGGAGCACACAATTTCGAAGCTCAACGAGCTAATTTTTATCGCCTTTCGAGGCACCCAGAGAGAAGCCCCTGCCCCAAAGAACAATCCAAACAAGCCACGTAAACCTGAATCGACTGCAGTTTTACTCCCGGGAAGCACTTTCCCTTTGCTACGAACATCCAACTCTCGTCACGTACTTGCACTTTTTGTGCCGAGTGCTCCTCCTTTTTTCGCTTTTGTTATCTGCCAAATATTTGGCACAAGAGTCGCCGTCGCCGTCGCCGTCGCCGTATCTTATATCTGTTGCAGATATTCTGGGACACTCGATAAACAAAAGCCCGATAAGCAGCAGTCCAAATTCAATTTGCCCTCCATCGATAAGAAATCGGAGGTTGGCAAACAAATGGGGGGACTAAGCCATCGATTGTTCCCTCATTATGGGATTTAAGAGCTGGAATAGAAGACCATAAAGGCAGACAGACAAACAGAATGACAGATAGACAGAGAGTGACATAATAAACAAATTTAATCAGTTTGCTGAATGGAAATCTTCCGTTGTCTCAGCTGTGTGGAAATCCGAGTTCGTTTCTTGGACAGCCTCCAATTCTGCTTGGACTTATCACGGTTTCTGTGGGCTCCTGACTTCTGGTTCTGGTTTACTTTTAAGAGTCGAGCTCTCTAAGCCACCGGTTCGTGTTTCGAGCGCTGAGCGCTAGTTTCTTTCAGTTTCAGTTTGAGTTTCAGTTTCAGTTTCTTTGCCCTCTTAGCGACCTCTTCCATCCTCCGAAGAGCCGGCTTATCGCTCTTATTTCTTTTCAGCTTCTTTTTATTTCCAGCTTCTTGGGTGTCTTTGGCCACGCTGCGTATGCTTAATCACGGGCCGCGGGTCAGAGGGCAATTGGCGAGCAGAAGAAGTGCTCGAAAAAAATCCTATTCAGCTACTCAAGTTACTAAACAATTTGAAATCTTATCAGGCGTGGTGGTTGTGAAAGCAATTTCATTTTCATTCATCGATTCCCCCGACGACGATTCCATTGACCCAATTCTAGACGAGACCCAATTGACGATTCTAGTCTTGTGCGATAATTAACTTTTACTTTCCGCCGCTCCGAGTCGCGCTTTTATTTTGGGATCGCTTTCGGTTGGTTTCGCCAAACAAGTCCATTAAACATTCACACAACTTATGCAAATGATTTGGCGGCTGGAATTAATTCTAAACAAATTCA